CGTTGTAAGCATCGTCTGACACGTCTGGCTTTGCGGTAGATAATAAACTGTCATGGAATGTGAATTGAGGAGGGATATTGAATATAGGTGAAAGGTCGCGATGAAAACAGATAACGCCGTGATGACAGTGATTATGAGAGTTAAGAATTGGGAGCAAATGTACAGCATATATGGACCGTGGGTTTCTGATGCAAATGTCACCTTGATCGTTTCCCAGCGATACGTATTTAATGCATCATTTTTGAAAGTGTAACAGTTCCGATTAAAATTGCGAATGTCACTCTCTGTACATACGATATCCAATCATAGATTGCCGATGATAATATAACTTGCAAGATATTGTGGCCATATTGTTGGCAGTTACAAGTTTACCAAAAATGCGTGATGAAAGTAATGTGCAAAAATCGAATGGCTTTAGATTCACTTGTTCTTGTGCAGCGTAGCGAATGCATCTTCTGGTCTCATGGTCCTGTAGCAGGAATTAAATTCTTGAATTGGTGGATCCAGCGTTTTGGTAGAACTGGCATCGACGATCATCAGGGAATGACGTATTTTCACGTATTCACGTATTCTCTAAACGTAATCTGACTCTTCGTCAGGTTAATTTTCAGTCGTTATTCAATGCTGGCATCGTTCGCTCTTTGCAGTTCTTCTGGTGACCTCTAGAGCATCAGAGTATCGTCAGCTAGTCGCAGGGGCCTTAAAACGGGTCCATTTTTGTTCAGCGCCCGATCATCTCAACGGAGTGTCTTTAAAACCTCTTCTGGGGCTGGTGTTAATAATTTCTATAGCATTGCATCACCCTGCCCCGCGCTCTTTTCGATTTTGAACTTGTTTGTTCTTTCTTGAAGCTTCACACTAGCAGTTGCATGCTTGTAGATCATAGCGATAAGGTTTTTCGATTCTTTAGCTTCTCAAGGAATTCGGTACGGAACGATTGTAGATTAAGTAAAAGCCTTCTCGAAAGCAGCGAGATCCAGACGAGGCGGAAGTTGATATTCGTTGCTCGTCTGAATTATTTGTTTTACCACCTGGACATGATCCATCGTACTGAATCCACTTTTGAATCCTGTTTGCTCCTGTAGCGGTACAGAACTTAGTTTCTCATGAAATCTGTTCAGTAAATACCTTGTAGATGATGGACAACAAACTGTAGTCTTCGGATCAGCCTGTAGTTCTTCAGACCTACTTTGTCTCCTTTTTGTTAAGTAGAATCACCGATGCAGTAGGAAGATTCCCAGAAATGGACTGCACAATTTTCGGATTATTTCATCTATGCTGTTTGAAATTCGTCATTGAGTTTTTAGACTGTTTATTTAGAATGCTAGCATTGTTTGTTCGCTGCAATCCTTTGCACATATCGAGTTGCAACAATTTTATGAATCCTTTCGATAGACACGCCGGTCAACATTGGTTTCTGTCATTGATTGGTCTACCTGAACATATACCTTCCAAATAATTTTCAACTGTTTGAAGTTGTTTGTGTGATAAGACTCAGAATTCAGAAACTTTTCAGATCGAATCTAAGCATCATTTGTAAGCATAAACGCAAGGGCGTCGGTTTTCATCGTAAACTTGTTAGAGTATGTTTTTGGTTAAAACTACAGTGCGCAAGCCGAAGGTTAAATACAAACCAACTTTGCATTTATTTTTATCATGACGTTTGCCGTAGCTTTGATGACACTGTGTCGTTTTCTGACGCAAAATCGATGCAAATTTAGCACTCATTCAGTGACAGTGTTCTTTGGAATTGGCTTTTCTCAAGCGAAATAGTGCGATGAAACAGAGGAAGTGGCTCGAGTGAATATAAATAAAGTTAAGTCATTATCTCTCAGAAATTACCGAGATATGAGCGGTGACGGTAGTTATGTTGGATGCTGACGCGGTTTGAAAGCGAGGTACTCAGTTCGATCACTACTACTGTTGCTATGATCTCTATCGTGCTTGTAATGACATTGGTGTGTTTTCGATTCTTCATTTGTACCCGTGTATATGCGAAATGCAGTCTTGCTTCGCGTAGCAACATTTGTCGTTTCTGTCACTAAATTCAGTACGGTTTGTGCTTAGAGTTGGATGACATAGAAGATGCGCTACAACGGTCGCTGTCCGTTCCTGAACCTGGTCCAGATACTGATAGCCATCTTCTCGTCGTTGGCCTCCTTCGTGTGCGCCGGTGTGAACGCCGCTTGGACCGACGTATCCTTCGACCCCCCGTACTCAAAGAAGTTGCGTGAGGGAGACAACGCTTCTTTTGCTGTCGTATTTCGCTATGACGCTAGCCCTTCGTCTTCGTTATCGCTGATGCGCAACTCCTCGAAGTGCGCCGGCAGACCACGGATGGTCAAGATGCTGTCGCAGAATCCGGAAGTGGCTGACCTCGCCGATGCCCCTATGCGTTGCTCTCACTTCCGCTTCAAGCAGGCGGCAACAAGCACGAACGCTGACGCGAAAGCTGATGATATCGATGCTGAGAAAGAGCGGATGGACAGGTGGATGTGCTGGTCGCTGGATACCAATCACACCAGCGACAACGACGGAAGCGTTTTTAATGTGACGGTCAGCATTGAGGGAAAATTTCTCGGCCGCGCGTTGTTGTCAGTTATCATTGAGTGTGATCGCAACCATACACTTCGACGAACGTATGATGTGTCAGTGCTACGTCGTAACCGACGGCTCGGACACATCTTCGTCGGCGTGCTCACGCTACTGCTCATTTTCGCCAATTTACTTATGGCTACCGAGGTGCATCTTGAGGTCGTATGGGAAGTCATCAAAAGACCGTTAGCACCAGCCATCGGCCTGTTCTGTCAGTACTTCGCCATGCCAATGGTAGGCAATGTTTGAGGCAGCGGTCTCCACGTCACAGTGTCAAAATTTCTGCTTCTATGTGAATTATTGTGTAATTCAACAATTACTGTTGCTCACTGCTTAAAGTTGCTGCTCACGGTTAGCTTATCTGTATACTCTGGAATTTAAATGACATGTCGAAAGAGCCAAAAATGATAGGAAGATGGTCACAAAAGGCCGATAATGCTGATTATAAATCAACGTCATTAAACGCGTAATGGGGTAGTAGATTTAAAGAGAAGTTTTACTGTTTACATGATCAAAAAATATTGATTAAACACTGGAGAAAGGAAAGTTTGTAACCTTTCGAATGTCGGTCTTCTTAATACTTTAATAATGAAATCATTTCTGGCGTCCTTCCTTTCATGAAGTTAATTATGGTTCGCTGATCTTTATGGCCATGCCATCAACCAAG